TCTCTCTCTCTCACACACACGCACACACACAAACACACACACACACACATACACACACACACACACACACACACACATACTCCAAAACACAGAATCACACGGACAGTAGCAGACGACGAAGAGTCAGAGACATACCCCAGGTTTGACGGGCAGCGAGCCCCTCCTGTTGGCATGTCGCTTCATCAGAATCTGCTCCTGGTCGAAGTCCACAGCCTGGTCAGTGTCCGGTATGCTGTAGAGGGGCGGGGCCGGGTACTGACCCATGGCGTAAGATTTACGCCGCCCGCGCCAATTCTGACTCATCCTCGGGTCGGGATGTGAACACACAACACCTGATACAACGGCGCGCTCTCTCTCTCTCTCCTCAGACTCGAACCCGGGACATTCAACTCAGGAGGCTTGACCTCACACCTCCCATCAACGCTGTCGTATAAACCTCACCACTGACTGCTAGCGGAGATTGTAATCCATGCGCAAAAGCCTCATTGACTCCAGCTACAGAGTTAGAGGTTGGCGAGAATCACTCAAACAAAGCACCGGCTACACTGACTTGAATGATGAAGTAATCCAGAAATAGTGTCCAAAAAATCTCACCGAAACAGAGAAACGTCTATTCTGCTGATGATCAAGCAGTTGAACAAGTGCAAAAATCCCACTATGAAGTAAAGAACGAACTCTTTACCGTCACCATCCAACACTGCGTTGCGAGAAAACAATATCTATCTATCAACTAACCGTAGAGAATATTTATTAGGATATCGTGACAGTAGTGTTAAAAGTAGAAGATTCACCCTGACACAAAAATCGTTTCAGAATCCCCCACCACCAGTGCAGAATTCATCTGCTGTGTGTACTAGCAACTGAACTAAGTCCCGGGAATCCAGTGTTGACGGTAAAGCAGCTGAAATCACTGAGCAAACAACATACGACCAGTATTATTCTCCGCTGACCCGATTACCACGACACATACGCGACTGTTTTTTTTTTTCAGATCTGTAAGAACAGCACCCTGTGTAAAGTCGTATTCTCCACCCAGCGACCCACCCTTACAGAGATACTGCACTACATCAAAAGGACATAGTACGCAAACTTCACACGCCTTTCTGCCACACGTTTTTCATCGAGCGCCAACAACTCGACGCACTTCAAACCCCATGACACAAATATCACATGCCCAGTCAAGAACAAAAACTATAGCAACTCTATATTATGTAAACGTAAATCTCGCATAAAAAATCTTTTCACAATAATTAAATTACACATCCCAAAATAACAGCACGGACCTGATAAGGTGCATTGTGTACACATTGCAATATTGAGAAAAGTCTTTTCAAAGCTAAACAAATCGTTCAGGGAAAAAGCAACAGGACTTTAAACGAATCAGCACAAAAGAACGTTTTTCAAGCACTGTGGCATAGGTGAAGTTTGTAGCAGAAAGCACTTTTATATATATATCAAAGCCATTGCACTTGATATATTTATGATGTTATTCTTTACACTGGCTCACTATTCGCTGCAATACTGTGGTTTATCAGGGTTGCCCACTTGGCCTCCTATTTGCAGTTGAGACGACGTTTAGAGCGTATTTTGTTAGTAATGTAACAATGAAGGGGAATAATAAAGTATTAAAACAGACGTACATTTGAAAACGAGAAGGTCGCAGGAAAATTCGTATTGTTTGTTTGTTTGAGTAAAGGGAAGTGCACCGACACAATAATCTTCATTTAGCACTGGGAAAAAGACAGACAGACAGACAGACAGACAGACAGACAGACAGACAGACAGACAGACAGACAGACAGACAGACAGACAGACAGACAGACAGGC